TTTTTGGCACCACAGACCAAAGACAATTTGGAAGACAATGTTTCTATGGACTGGGGGTGGGGAGGGATGGGGGGCAGAGGCGGAGCTCAGGCAGTGATACGCAGCCCAGTTCCTGACAGGCGCTGGACTGGTACTGGGCTGCAGCCGGGGGGTTGGGGACTGAAGTCCTACAGGACACAGCTCTGTTCAGTGTTGATGTCCACAGCCTACATCATTCCCACACAGCCTCATGAAAGATGAATGTCCTTAATTTCCATATGGACATCAGTGAAGCGATGATCCTTCCCATGTCTCAGAAGCATCAAAGACGGGATTTGGAGCCAGGATGTACTGTTGGAAGTCAAGGCTCTTGCACCTCCTCGCCTCAGCAACCTTCTCATTTTAAAATGCGGGTAGCAGAACCAGCACTTGGCTCCAGTGGCCTCCAGAAGGGTGGCTTCCAGTTGCCAGTGACTGCCCGGTGAGTGCAGGCTGCTTCAGCATTTCCTGGCTAGCTGACAAGTTTTTGGGTGTTGGCCTGCCCTATTGGTCTGGCTGGCACGGTGTAGTCACACTCTCCCAGTCTCCAGGAGCTATGGCAGCACCAGACGCTGTAATGGGCGCCTCCAGGACAGCAGCATGGGCCTGCTTTGTGTGTGAACCTATTGTCTTACTGTTTGTTTCTTGACTTTCCTGTATCTTAATGCTGGTCGTCTTTTGGATTTTTAAATTTTTAATCATTTCATTTCCTTCCTTTGTTGTTAATTATATGCTCTTTTTCTTTTAGTCACTTCCACAGGAATAACAACATATACATCCTTATCAAAGTCTAATGAAAAATAGTAGTACTTTTACCATTTCCCATACAGTGCTAGGACCTCAGAACACTTTAATGCCATTTGCTGCTCTTTCTGTCTTTTGTGCTATTGTAGCTACATTTTAATAAATTCTACAAGTCATTATTACTATTTTATACAGTCAATATTCATTTGGTTTATGTATGTATTTACCCTGTCTGATGCATTTTTTCCCTGCAGTTTCATGCTTCCACCTGAGATCATCTTCCTTTAGCCTAAAGTACTCCCATTAGTATTTCTTGAATAACAGATCCACTCATGACTAATTTTCCTCCCAATTTTTCTTTATCTGGAAAAGTCTTTCTCTTGAAGGCTTTTAAGCTAGATTTAGGATTCTGGTGTGGCATTTTGTTTTCTTTCCCCACTTCATGATATTATTCCATTGTCTTATGGTTTTCATAGTTTCACTTGAGAAGTTGGCTGTCAGTTTCAGTTGTTCCTTTGAAGGCTGTGTGTCTTTAAAATTTTGTTTGTCTTTGGTTTTTAGTAGTTTGACAATGATTTGCTTGGGTATGCTTTTCTTTGGGATTCATAATGTCTCTTTAATTTATGGTTCGATGACTAATTCTTTCATAAATTCTGTATGATTTTTTCATTTTGTAAAATTTTCAGTCATTATCTCTGAATATTGCTTCTGGCACTCTAATTATATGTATGTTAGCTCTTCTCACCTGTATGTCTCTATGTCTTTTCTGTATTTGCAACTTTATTCCTCTGCGTCTCAGTCTGCATACCCTGCAGTTCACTAATCCTTTCTTTAGCTTAGGCTGCTGTTGAGCCCATTTATTGAATTCTTAATTTGGTTCTATTTTTGAGTAGTAGAATTTCCATTTGATTAATTTTTTTCTTATTTTTATTTTTTTAAATTGAGATGGGGTGTCACTATGTTATCCAGGCTGGACTTGAATTCCTGGGCTCAAGCAGTCCTCCTGCCTCAGCCTCCTGAGTAGCGGGACTATAGGTGCACACCACCATGCCCGGTGTTTGATTAATTTTTTACAATTTTTGCTTCTCTGCTGAAATTGTCTTGTGGTCTCCTTTCCTGAACTTTTGTTAAGTGCAATTATATAAAATTTCATTTCTGGTAATTCTAACATCTGGATCTCTTATGAGTATATTCTATTTTTTCTCATGGTTTTGATTGAATCTTGGATGTTGTGATATTGTATATGAAAAATTCTAGAGAAAATTTGAGGTTCTAGATAATTTATTTTCCTCCAGAGAGAATTTATTCTACCTTCTAGCAGGCAATTAGGCTAGGGGTACCCTGACCCTCCCTTTCAGGACTGATAAAGAGGCTTCTTCTCACCAGTACCCCGTTACATCGTCCCCTCTGCCAAAAGGGCAGGCCAGTTAACAACTGTGCTGATACCAAGCTATGTTTCAGTCCCTGGGAAGAGTGGTCTGTTTCAGGTTCACCCCTGCTCTTAGGATGGGGCTAATGGGGGTGGTCACAACAGAAAGTGGGCGGCGGAGGGGGCAGTTTGCCAGGGCCCTACTCCTTGGCTGCCTTAAACATGCATCTCTCTCCATCCCCTGAGATTGTAAGAAGCTCTTCTCAGCCTCTCAGCTTTACAGCCACTGCTCGTAAATGGACAAAAACTTAAGAGGAAAGAAGTATCCGATGTGAGGCTCACTTTGTTGCTTTTCCCTTATCTCCATGATTGCAGCCTCTGAAATCCTTGTCAGTTTGGTATTTCTCCAAGGCCAATAAATAGATTTTTAAAAATATATCTGTTGTCAGGTTTGTTAACTTGTTTGAAGAAGGGAGGTTCAATCCTGGGCCTGTGTTGGAAAGGCCAAGCCCCCCAGCCCGCCCTGGGGCTCCAGGACCTCTCCCAGAGACTCCTGCCCTTTGGCAGTGGGGGAGGTCTGCCAGGGGAGGGCAGTTACGTGGCATTAGGGAGGGGAAGTCTCTTCATTAGCTCTCGAACATTCAAATATGAGTCAGGAGAGGGCTTGAGCCCGGCTTGATAGAGCTGGACACACCCAGCACAACCTCCATGTTTATAGATGTGGAAACTAAGGCCCAGAATGAGACCATCCGACAGTGGTGGGGACTCGGGTGTTCTTGACGGCTTGACCAGTTCTCCGCTCTGGAGCAGGGCAGGGCTTCTGGCCTCTCCTTTCCCTGCTGTGCCCTCATTCCAATGTCTGCTGAAGCCATGGGCGGCAGGGAGGGGTTGGACGCATGGGTGCTCCTTGCCGCTGTGACCTCTGGGTACAGTTCATTGAATCCTCTCTGCTGCCAACTTCTCACAGAACCCTGGAGACAGTTTCTGAGAGTGGCAGTTTTTTTCCTCAATTCCTGCAGTTTTCTTCCCACACCCAGTTTCTCTTCCTCTTTTCTCCCCACCCTGTTGTGAACGAAAGTCGTTGCACCAAGTCATGCTTCACTTTCTCTCCCTGTGCTTCAGTGGCCTGACATTTACCCCCAGGCCCAAGGCAGGCATGAGGGGTAGCAGGACAGGTGGGGTGTCCCCATTCCTTAGGGATGCAGGCTCTGGGAGTGTGGCGTGGGCCTCCTCCACGGGTGATGCTGGTGCTGCGCCCACCCTCACCCTGTCACGGGCTCAGCCCCAGGTCCCTGGCGGGAGGGAAGGAGATGGCGTGTGAGCTAGGGTAACGAGCAGGTGGCACTCTTGAATGGGGGAATGAATTTGGTATCTGAAAGCCTCCAAGTTCAGAGCGCTGCCACTTGCCAAGCTGTGTGGCCACAGACATCAGCTGCCTCACCTCTGGCTTGCCTTGTCAGGGAAGGGGAAGCCAGCCTGGCTTTTGCCTGGCTCAGACGGAGGGCGTGGGAGATGGCAGACTGTGGGAGGCCTCCTGTTGGGAAATTGTTCCCTGCCCAAGAGGCCCAGGCCTTTCTAAGGGGCCTGCAGTCAAGGACCAAAAGAGGTAGTGGGGAAGGACCCACAGCCCACGCTCACCTGGCTGGCACGTGAGGGGCCACTTCTCTAATCCTCAGAGTCTAGGTGCCTGTCCTAGTGTCTCTGTCTTGCCTTTATGAGGCCCAGCAACCCCCAGGAGCTCTCACCCTGCTGCACTGTGGAGTTGCTGGGGGCCCTCTCTTCCTGCGGGCCTGCTTCTGTGTGGGGTGGGGGGGATTGGGATTTGATGAGTTGCTGAGCTGGGGAGGCCCCCAGTGAGCTCTTGGTGCAGCCAGCCTTGCCTGAGGAGACTGAAACAGGAGGAAAAGAACGTAGTTGCTGGCCACAGCTCCTACTGTGGGATTTTGGCCCCTCATGGCTCCTGTTGGGGTCTTGGGGTCTGCCCTGGTAGCATTTGAAAGACCTTGCAGGGGTGGGAGCTGTGCAGTTCTCATCACTACTCAGGTGAACTGTGGCTTTCCCAGCTTTGCACACGGTCTGCCTCTTCCACAGCCCTCCTGGGCCTCTCCTGCAGTCATGGAGCGAGGTCAGTTTCTCATGTGCTTTGTGCCTTGGCCCTGTCCACTACAGCCACAGGCCTGGACACCGCCTCCTTCTGGAGTCCGTCCACGTTCCCACCGGCTGCAGGCAGCCATGCCCCCTCTGAAGCCCCCAGCACTCGCTTGCCTGTCCACTTGTCACTGCTCCTCACTGCCACGTGCCTTTGACCCAGCACACCCAGACCCTTGTCACTAGTAGTTGAGGGACGACATGTCGTTGGCCCAGGGCAGGAAGGCTCTGGGGAGGGGGCCAGGCTTAGGGACCTAGCGTGTGACCACTGGCTTTCTCTCTAGGAGTAACTCGGCCCAGGAGTTCTAGCCCTGGCTGGGAGACACACCTTGCCTTGGGTTCAGATTTGCAACCACTGCTGTGTTACCCTGTTTCCTTAGCTGTCAAGCGGGGATACACCAGGAGACACCTAGCGAATGCTCCCTAGGCATCCCTGGCCCCAGCTCTGGAAGAGACCCACACCCCAACAGAGCAGGCAGGGCCTTTGGAAAGCAGCCAGTCCTGCTGCTAAGTGGCAGAGCAGGGGGCCGCGGGGCCTGTCCCGGCGACACTCTATTCTATGCTTCCTTTTTCACCAGGCCATCTCCAGAGGGATCAGAGAAAAGTCCGGAAGTAACCAGCTTGTGTGGGTTCATTGCCTTTTAACTTGCAGTTGTATGAGGTGATTGAGACCATGTCACATGCTTGACCTCATCTCTGCTTGTCCTCTCTGCCCTCTTAGGGAACTCAGGCTGCGGAACTATGTCCCCGAGGATGAGGACCTGAAGAGGAGGAGGGTGCCCCAGGCCAAACCTGTTGCAGGTAAGTGCATTGCCTTTCTCTGCCTCTGCTCCCTGGCGCTGTCAGTTGCCCTCCACCTCAGCGAGCTCTGCCCTCTCGGCAAATAATCAGCCGCGCCAGGGCAGGAGTTGGGCCTCCAGGACCCTCCATCACCATCTCACGGCAGATGTGAAATGCTCTGACAGAGGCTGTCAGAGCACTGAAGAGGACTTAAGTGCCTACTCAACCCTGCTTCTACCCTGGGGACCTGTGAGGGGTCCTAGAAGAGGACATGTCCCCTCACAGGACTCCTGTGAGCTGAGAAGTGGACGTAACCCTGGGGCCCTTGGGCATCAGAGCAGGATGATGGGGCCGGTGGGCTCTGGGTGGGTCAGAGTGAGAGACCCCGATGAGGGGCTGAGCATTCAGGCATGCAGAGCAGCCGGTGGGCAACACAGGGCACAGACGTGGGGGAGGGCCCAGCCCAGAGCTTGCCCCTTCACTGTGGTGTGGGGAGCAGCACAGGGACCAGGAGCTTCTGGCTGTCCACCTGACTCATGCCAGGGAGCTTCTCAGTCATGCGGATCTCTGGCCTCTGGTGCTGGAGGGTCTCCGTTTTTATTCTTTATTTTTGTTACCAACTTTTAATTGTAAAATAAATGAATAAATACATTAATATTGTGAAAAAGTAAAGTGTTGCCCATTTGTCCACATCCCAGTCTGCTCCTCCCCTTTTCATCCTAAAATCCAGACACTTCCCTGGCAGTTTGCTTCAGGGTTTGGGCTCTACCTCCACTGGCCTGGCTGGGCAGTGGCACAGGAGGGCAGGGTGGAGGAGGGTGAGGAGTGGCTCTGGGCCTCAGGGTCAGGAGGCAGCCCCAGCCCACGCCTGCAGCTGGAGTGAGGTGAGGCCCAGGGAGGGTGCTCCGGGGGTTGGTGAGTGCCAGGGGGTTGCAAGCCCAAAATTATTATTGCTTCCTGCTTCCGGTTTCTGACCCCTTGGGGCCAGGACCCTCCAGGTCAGACAGTGGGGAGGCCTGCTGCACTGGCAGTGGCTTGGTGGAACCAGGAGGTGCCTGTCCCCTCATCTTGGGAGCACACGCCTGAGGTGGGATAGGAAGAAAAGCCACAAGTGGCTCAGGCCAGGCCAGGACCCAGAGGACATCCTCAGAGCCCAGGAGCCCCGAGGTTATGGGGAAAGCCAGTCCTCAAGGCCGTTCACAAAACCGCACCTTGTACACGTGCAGGCAGCCCTCTGGGTTCACAGTTGAGGTTAGCGTCCCTGCTTTCTGACTGACTTCTGTTGGCTGCTTCCTGCTGTCCCATTCTTGCACCCTGGAGCTGGCCTTCATCCCGGAAACCCAGGCCCCTTCTCCAGAGCTGCCTTTGCAGGGGCTTTACCTCTGGCTGCCCGGGGCCAAGGAGAGGTGGGTGCAGGGAAGCCTGGGGTCCCCTCCTCTCCCTGGGGCTACAGTAGACAGTGTCACTCCAGAGTGGCAGCTCCTTTCCAACAGGCCTTTGTTGTTGTCTTGCACCCTCTAGTGGAGGAGAAGGTGAAGGAGCAGCTGGAGGCTGCTAAGCCTGAGCCTGTCATTGAGGAAGTGGTGAGTGCCTGGGCCACCCTGTCCTCCTGGCTGCTTCTGTGTCCTGCTGTCCTTCCCACCTGCTCTCACTCTGTCCCCTTCCTTCTCTTCATGTCTTTATTCCGTTTCCACCTCCATCCTTGCTCTCGTCCCCCTCCTTCCTCCTTCCTTTTCTCCCATTTCCCTACCTCTCTACTCTGTCTTCCCACTTGCCTGGGGCTGGACCCTCCAGCCCTGATGTGTGTCTCCTCCCTCCCCAGGACCTGGCCAACCTGGCTCCCCGGAAGCCCGATTGGTGAGTGTTGCCTGTGCGGGGTGGATGCACACTAACTGGGGGGCTTCTAGTGCCAGGCGTGGGCCTCGGGCTGGGTCCTTCCCCCTCACAGTGAGGAGATGGACAGTACAGACAGAGCTACAGGAGACACTTAGCGTTGGAGCTAAGTGCTGAGAAGGACATAAATGGAGCAATGAAAGGAAAGTGATGGGGAGGGTCTCACACAGAGGGAAGCAGCGGGTCCCTCAAGAAGCCCCTTCTGAAATGGTGAGAGCCCCTATTCCAGAAAGTCCCATTTGAGCAAAGCTGACCTTTGTCCTTAGGAGACCACAGTGTGAGGGGGGATGGAGGGAAGGGCTGACACAGGTTTCTGTCCCTGTTTTGCCACCAACTAGCCTGTTCCCCTCTGGCCCCAGTTCCCTCATCTGTGAAAAGGGGATGTCCATTTATGTCACTGGGCTGAGAAAGAGGGTGAGAAAGGGTGCTATAGGCCGGGAGGCCTGTGTCTTCCTTTACTTTGGGCCACACATAGGGGCTCTGTCCCTCTTGCCTGGTTCTGGGTCAAGAACTTACCAGCTAAGGGCATTATAATCTGATGAAACAAAGCCATGGGGTGTGTGTCCTAGGAAACCCAGAACCAGAGAGAACAGGCTGAGTGCACGTGCACTTCTGGAAGCCCACAGTGGAGGGGGCGAGCCTGTGTCCGGGGGAGGAGCAAGGCCCATTGTGGGTTAGATCAAGTTACCCCCTGATGGTAACTGGGGGGACCAGACCAAGAGAGGATCCCTGAGGAGCTACCCACCCTTGCATGCCTTGGCTCTGCCCCCCATGTTGCGTGGGTCTGTGGTACTAGTCCACTTATCTCAGTGGGATGGGGAAGGATGGCTGGTGCTGGGTTTTAGAGGGCACAGAGGAGAGAGAGGAGCATCCTGGCCTCCTCCCCAGGCAATGGATGTGATTTCCGATGCCAGAGGGCTGCAGGAGGGGAGGGGCCCAAGGCCTCACCAGGCTAGCCTCAGCCTCAGCCTCCTGCCTCCCTTCACCTCACTGCTCCAGGGACCTAAAGAGAGACGTGGCCAAGAAGCTGGAGAAGCTAAAAAAGAGGACCCAGAGGGCCATTGCTGAGCTGATTCGTAAGCGCAGGGCCTGGCAAGGTGGGGTCCTACCCTCTGGGTGGTGGCCCAAGCGCAAGGCCCACCCTCTGTCTGCCATCCATTCCAGGTGAGAGGCTGAAAGGCCAGGAAGACAGCCTAGCCTCTGCAGTGTACTCTACCACCGAACAAGAAGCCTGCGACTCTGACTGAGGTGTGCCCTGTCCCCCTGCACCTGTCAGGCCTTTCCTATAGGTGGACGGTCTTAGGCAGGGTCAGGGCTGGGCTTGCAGTCACCTCCAGTTTGGCTTCAGAGCAGTGACTCTGCGCCATCAAGTCTGAAGCCCCAGTGAGTGAGGTCTCCTGAGTGGTTCCTGCTGTTCTTAGTGAGGGCAGAGCCAGCAACAACTCTGGAGCGTTCCTGTGTCTGTACATATGTATGTATTTTGAACTTTGTTTAGTCTCTGGAAATAAAGTCAAGTAGACGCCTGTGTGGCAGAAACCTGTCAGATGTTGCATGGGTCCTGGGGTGCTGTGGGTTTGGGCTCCAAGACAGGGTGGCCACAGAGCTGTGCTTATTAATAACCCCTGTGCTGGGCAGGGCATGTTGAGGCTGGAGGGGTGGGGAAGGCCCAGGGCTGACCATCTGGGACCAAATTCTGGCCCAGTGCATTGTCAGTGGAGGTCATTTCAAAACCCTTGGGTGACATAGGCAGGATCTGAGAGAGTTGTTTTAAGACTTCCCCCAGGCCTAGGCCTTACAGTAGTCTGTGGGACAGCTAGAGAGGCTCTCACTCTGGTCTCCTGTGGATCCCCTCACAGTGTGAGAGAGAGAAGGGAGAGACTGGGCCTTGGCAAACCCCAACTTGGGACCACTCCCAATTTGAGGCCTCTAGCACTGTTTTTCCCACTCTGCCCAGCCCTAGGCAGCCCCTTTCCCTGCTCCACCAGTCAGAACTAGACTATGGCTCCTCTAGGACAGGGACTGCATTGGGAGGGGTGCTTCACTCTGCTGAAGACTTGGATGTTGTAGGCTGTTTCAGGTTTGGACGCCCAAAGTCCTGGCTTTAGGACCATGAGCGTCCGCCGTGGAGCTGACTCTCCAGGTTGATTGGCTGGCTGCATCATCTCTGATCCAGGTACCCATGGCCAACTGGAATTGCATCTCCTCCAGGATGGTCACACCCTTGAGTTTCCTTCAGAGCTTCCCCTTAGCCTCCTGCCTCTGCCCTAAGTCATCCAGTGTGTTCTTCCTGTATGCTGTGCTCATCTCCGGTGGACGGCGCGAAGGACTCTGGTTGTAGCGGTGGAGTGAGTGCGTGCACAGAGACCAGCACACTCACACAGTAAATAAATCCTTTAAGTCAAAACTATGCAACTGCTCTCAGAAGGTATCCTGTGTAGGAAAGGAGCAGAAACTTGTAGCTGTGAGTGAGGGCTGACCTGGTAGGTGGCCAGCTTCTGCATTGAGCAGTGAGACAAGGTCAGGACTCAGATTCCAACAAGGGTCAGTGACCAAACATGCCCACAGTTGTCAGGGCTAGAGTCAGGCTTCCTTTCCCAGGAAGGATGAAAAGACTCCCTGCATCTCTTGGGATTGCAGTTGGAAACAGGCAGCAGAAGGATGTGGACACCTGGTGGCTAGCAACTAAGTTCCTGTTTAGCACCAGATTGGACTGGAGTAGGGTTATCTCACAGTGCAAGAGCCTAAGAGCTAATGAAAGGTGTGCTTCTGATTTCATGACCTTGCATGCCCTGACAGGAAAAGTGTACTATAAGGGAAAAGAAAACAAAAACCATGCATGGTGGGCACTCAAGCAGAAATTACAAAATGCATGAGAAAATCCAATGCCTTAAAGAATGGCCAACAACCCAACAAATGAGAGAATTATACCTAAGGAGATTGAAACAGTACATCCTAATATGCTTTAAAATGTGCATTTATTGTATCATCAGAGAGATAAAAGAGGATATGATCCCCATAACTCAAGAGTAAAGGATAAGGCCGAGCATAGTGACTCACGCATGTAGTACTAGCACTCTGGCAGGCTGAGGCGGGAGGATCACTTGAGCTCAGGAGTTCGAGAGCCCCCGTCTTTACCAAAAATAGAAAAAATCAGCTGGGTGTGGTACGCACTTATAGTCCCAGCTACTTGGGAGGCTGAGGCAGGAGGATCACTTGAGCCCAGGAGACTGAGGTTGCTGTGAGCTATGATGACGCCACTGCACTCTAGCCCAGGTGATGAGACTCTCTCAAAAAAAAAAAAAAAAAGAAAAGAAAAATAGGGATTAGACATAAGAAAGAACTGCTTAGAAATTTTGCAAATGTAGAATATGGTTATTAAAAACCTCACTAGAAGAGCTAAATAGTTACTTACAGTCAAAGAAGGGATTAATAAATTGGAGTTAAAGCTGAGGGGGTCATATAGAAGGTGGCAATGAGAGATAAAGAGGGTGAAGTGGAGGATAGATTGAGAACTTTGCCATACTGATAGATGTTCTATAGCTGACAGGAGTTCCAGGAAAAGAAAACCAGAGAAAGAAAGTACTGGAAGAAGGAATGGCTGACCACTTCTGTTTGTAGCATAAGGGTAGAATAGTTGCCTGAACTAATCCTCCTTTGGAAACAGCTAAAAATACTAGGTAAATCAATAATGACAGCAAATATTTTTTAAATACCGCTATGAGCTGGCAAGAAAGTAAGGAATACTTGGGTAAAAATGTAAGAGAAGTAGTAGCATGCCAAAGCCTAACCTTTGCCTCGAGGGTATTTGACAAACCAGGTGAAATTGAACATTGGTTTTGGGGGTCCTCGATGCCTGGGTTTAAGACAACCCAAGACCTTTTCAAAATAAGGGGCCTTGTAGGAGAGCCCTTCATAAAGCTGGGGTCCCAAACGGTGGAACTGTCTGTGAACTAATAATAAATCTACTCTCCTGGCATCCCAGGGAAAAATTGAACCTTGCCACTTACTGGAGTGAAGAAAGGTCTTCCTTGAGAACTGAGCCAGCCCCCCCCCACCCCATGTGGGTTTGCACATGAGAAACCTCAAGCCAGGAATTTAAGTGGTTCCAGTATGCGGAGGTCTCAAACACTTGATAGAAGAAGTACAGATCCTGCTTGGACAAACTTTCATTCATCATCTCAGTCCTCAAAGAATTCTCACTGATAAAATTCCAAGAAAAATGAGCAGTTAGGGCCTACTTAGTGACCCTGGATGAGGGCTCTCGAGGGTCATCTCCAAACAGGACCTGCACCACTTCACACTGCACTGCCTCACCACTGATGAGTGTGATGGGCACAGTACCTGGCCCTCCCACCAGTGCGACTAGGACTCTGGCCTACCCGGGAGGATGGCATTCTGAGAAATGAGCAGCAAAGGAAGGGAGCAAGACATTTTGAGCTAAGAGCTTCAAATTATTAATATAAAAAAAAGAAAACAAAAATGAACAGCTTACAGAAAAATTCACCAGACACACAAGGCAACAAAGCACCGAAAGCCAAGGACATCAGAAATAACATGGTAGAATCAGACTTGCAAAGACTTCAGACATAAGAATTATCAGTCACAGAATTGAAATATATTTTAAAATGATGTAAGAACTAAAGGAGAGTTGTGAAAATAGGAGCAGATTTGTGAAAGAACCAAACCGATGTTCTAGAAATAAAAAATACACCCCCACCTCGTCCCCACCTTGTCTGCAGTTTCACTTTTCATGGTTTCAGTTACCCGTGGTCAACCACAGTCCAAAAATATTATATACAATCCCTAAGATATTTTGAGAGAGAGAAACCACATTCACAACATTCAATATACTATATGTAACAGTATGTTATTATAGTTGTTTTATTTTATCATTAGTTACTGTTAATCTCTTGCTGTGCCTAACTACAAATTAAACTTTATCATATGCATGTATAGGAAAAAACACAGGGGTCAGTACTGTCTGCAGTTTCAGGCATTCACTGAGGGTGTTGGAATGTATCCCCCCATGGATAAGGAATGACTACTATATTGATAGCAATTAAAAACCTTGTATCTGTGAATTAGACAAAGCTGAAGAGACAATTAGTGAATGGGAAACTGAAGTTTTCCAGAGTGTAGCCCAGCGAGTTAAACAGATGGATAATGTAGAGCAAGAGGCTGAGAGACATGGAGGATAGAATGAGAAGATCCAACATAACATGTGATTGGAGTTCTAGGAGGAAAAAAAAAGCAAAAATGGGACAGAGACAATATTAAAAAAAAAAAATGCCTGAGAACTTCTCAGAACTTTCGAAAATCACCAATCCACAGATTCAAGAAGACTAGCAAATCTCAAATAGGTTAATAAAAGTAAAGAAATATGAATCCAAAATACTCTGTTTCTTAATCTGGGTGGTGATTAATCAGGTATTTTTATTTTATAAATATTCATTGAGCTGTTGTACACATATGTTTTATGTACTTTTGTATGTTTATTCTAGCTTAATAAGCAAATTTACTTAAAAATTTTCCACACCTTGTATTAATCATCAGTTGCTGCATACAAATTACCTAAAACTCAAATACAAATACTTAAACAACAAATATTTACTATCTTACAGTTTCTGTGGGGCAGGATTCAGGAATTGCTTAGCTGGGTCGGTATAGCTTGGGGTAACTTGTGAGACTGCACTCATCTGAAGGCTGGACTGGCGATGGAGGATTTGCTTCCAAGGTGGTTCTCTAGCATGGCTGTTGATTGGAGGCCTCAGGGACCTCTCCATAGGGCTTGCTTAGGTGTTCTCATGACATGGCAGCTGGCTTTCCCAGAGTGGCAATCCAAGAGAGAAAGTAGAAGGGAGCTTTAGGGCCTTTTTATGACCTGGTCTTGGAATTGATTTCTCCCACATTGTGGGTTTGTTTTGTTTGTTTGTTTTTAGACAAGTTCAGTAGTGAGAAGGGGGAAAGTAGAACAAGGAGTTCAATCTGTAACTGACTGTGAGCAATCAAGTGAGATAACTCACTACCTTCAGACCAGCCTTTTTTTTTTTTTTTTTGAGACAGTCTCATTCTGTCGCCCTGGCTAGAGTGCAGTGACATCATCATAGCTGACCGCAATCTCAAACTCCTAGGCTCAAGCAATCCTCCTACCTCAGCCTCCCAAATAGCTGTGACTACAGACACATGCCACCACACCTGGATAATTTTTCTATTTTTTTCAGACTGGTCTTGAACTCCTGTCCTCAAGCAATCCTCCTGCCTTAGCCTCCCAGACTGCTGGGATTACAGGCGTGAGCCACTATGCCTGGCCCGACATACTGTTTTATTAGGAGCAAGTCACTATGTTTAGCTCACACTCAGAGGGAGAAGAATTAGGTTGTACTTCCTAAAGGGAGGACTAAGAATTTGTGGACTTAATTTTAAAACTACCTCATACCTAATTGCATTATAATACAATTGGAGAACACAAAGACCAAGAAATAATATTAGATATGTTAGAAAAGACGTATGACCTTTCAAGAAGCAACACATGCAGATCCTGTATGTTCCAGAAAAAAAGAAAAAAGCAACACAGCAGCAGATGTCTCAACTACAACCAGTGTTAATTGGAATGAAAGAAAATTGTCAACTTAGAATTGCATACCCAGAGAAAATATCTTCCAAAATGCTTTAGGCGAGCAAGGCTAGGGATTCTGTCACCAGCAGACTCTAAAGGAAAATATATGGGGGTGGGGGGATAATGAAAATGTTCTAAAAGTGATTGTGGTGGTGGTTGCATAAATCTGTGAATGTGCAAAAAGTCATTGAATTGTATGCCTTAGATGAGTGGCATGGTATGCATAAGGCTGTTTTTAAAAAATAAAAAGCATTCTCCTTAAGAAATTCTAAAGAATATCTTCAGACTGAGGGGCACAGTCCCAGGTGGAAAGCGTAAGAAATAAAAAAGAATGAAGAATAAGAAAGTACAAATTTAAGTAGACATTGACCTTATAAAACAAAAATGTGTTGTAGGGTAGAGCAAGGGCTGCTTAGAATACGTGACATCCCCAGCATGTAAGTCCAGAGAGAGGAGGCTGACGTTACAGTCCTGGACGAAGCTCACTCAGCAGAGGCAGAAGGCTCCGGGAAACAGGCAGGTTGACGTTTCTAGAGAAACCCTAAGCAAATA